GGTTCTGGACCACTGGTGGACCAAAAAGACTAAAAGCCCTGCCCTAGACGACGACCAGGATCCCTGTTCCTGGTTCAGTGATGGTCTGGGGCCTCCTGGACCAAGTGTGTGTGTGTGTGTGTGTGTGTGTGTGTGTGTGTGTGTGTGTGTGTGTGTGTGTGTGTGTGTGTGTGTGTGTGTGTGTGTGTGTGTGTGTGATCGAGACAAAACACACCAATTCTTTGTTCATTCGTTCATAATTCAGTCAACTTTCTTACCTGCAGACAACACAAGTATACTCGTACCACCACAAGCCGAATATCCTCTGTACTCTCACCTCACCCTTACCCTCACACCTCACTTACCCTCACCTCCACCTCACCTCACACCTCACCATCACCTCCTCACCCTCACACCTCACCATCACCCTCACACCTCCCCCCTCCTCCTCACCCTCACACCTCACCCTCACCCTCACCTCACCCTCACCCCTCACCTTCACACCACCAAGGTCATCCCTCTCCCTCACAATACAACTCTCTCTCTCCTCACATACAACTCTCCCTCTCCTTCACAATACAACTCTCTCTCTCCTTACAATACAACTCTCTCTCTCTCTCTCCCTCTCCTAACTCTCTCTCTCCCTTACAATACAACTCTCTCTCTCTCTCCCTTACAATCCTCTCTCTCTCTCCCTTACAATACAACTCTCTCTCTCTCTCCCTTACAATACAACTCTCTCTCTCCTTACAATCTCTCTCTCTCTCTCCTCCTGTGCAACTCTCTCTCTCCTTACAATACAACTCTCTCTCTCTCCCTCACAATACAACTCTCTCTCTCCCTCACAATACAACTCTCCCTCTCCCTCACTATACCTCTCCCTCTCCTCACAATACAACTCTCTCTCCTCACAATACAACTCTCCTCTCCCTCACAATACAACTCTCCCTCTCCTCTACACACAACTCTCTCTCTCCCCTCACAATACAACCTCTCCTCTCCTCACAATACAACTCTCTCTCTCCTCACAATACAACTCTCCCTCTCCCCTCACAATACAACTCTCTCTCTCCCTCACAATACAACTCTCCCTCTCTCCCTCTGTACAACTCTCTCTCTCCCTTACAATACAACTCTCTCTCTCTCTCCCTCACAATACAATTCTCCTCTCCCCTCACAATACAACTCCTCTCCTCACAATACACTCTCTCTCTCCTCCTCCCAACTCTCTCCTCTCCTCCCCACAATACAACTCTCTCTCTCTCCCTCATAATACAACTCTCTCTCTCCTCTCTCTACTCTCTCTCTCTCTCCCTCACACTACTCTCCTCTCCCCTCACAATACAACTCTCTCTCGCCCTCACAATACAACTCTCTCTCCCTCACCAATACAACTCTCTCTCTCCTCACAATACAACTTTCTCTCCTCCCTACAACTCTCTCTCTCCCTCACAATACAACCCTCCTCCTCTCTCCTCACAATACAACTCTCTCTCTCTCTCTCACCTCAACTCTCTCTCTCTCTCCCTCACATAACCCAACTCTCTCTCCCTCACAATACAACTCTCCCTCTCTCCCTCACAATACAACTCTCTCTCCCTCACAATACAACTCTCTCTCTCTCTCTCCCTCACAATACAACTCTCTCTCTCTCCCCTCACAATACAACTCTCTCTCTCTCCTCACACCTAACTCTCTCTCCCTCACAATACAACTCTCTCTCTCTCTCCTCACAATACAACTCTCTCTCCTTTCCCCAACTCTCTCTCTCTCTCCCCTCACAATACAACTCTCTCTCTCTCTCCTCACAATACAACTCTCTCTCTCCCTCTCTACCTCTCTCTCTCCCTCCCCACAACTCTCTCTCTCTCCCTCACAATACACCTCTCTCTCTCCTCACAATACAACTCTCTCTCTCCCCACAATACAACTCCTCTCTCCCTCACAATACAACGCTCTCTCTCTCCCTCACAATACAACTCTCTCTCTCCCTCTCCCTCTCCCTCACACTACATCTCTCCAACAATCTCTAAAGCTTTCCGTAAACCTCCACTAACTTGGGGAATGCAAAGGCCTACCGTCCCTAAGGCTCCAGAAGCTTCAAAGAGACTCCTGAAGGTCCGAGAGACTCCAAGAGGTTCACAGAGACTCCAAGAGGTTCACAGAGACTCCAAGAGGTTTACAGAGACTCCAAGAGGTTTACAGAGACTCCAAGAGGTTCACAGAGACTCCAAGAGGTTTACAGAGACTCCAAGAGGTTCACAGAGACTCCAAGAGGTTCACAGTGACTCCAACAGATTTACAGAGACTCCAAGAGGTTCACAGAGACTCCAAGAGGTTTACAGAGACTCCAAGAGGTTTACAGAGACTCCAAGAGGTTCACAGAGACTCCAAGAGGTTTACAGAGACTCCAAGAGGTTCACAGAGACTCCAAGAGGTTCAGGGAGGCTCCAGGAGGTTCATGTAGGCTCCCTGGCCCTCCCTTAAGACTCCCCACGGATCAGTCCAGTTTGACGCCAGAAACGTCAGCACCATCGATAAATATCCGGAGAGGAGGACAGTGGGCCACCCATTAGTAGTTTACTCATGACTCAGGAGCCACTGTCTTTAATGGTGCTACTACCCTTCCTCCTCCTGTCACTACCCTCCTCCTCCTGCTACTACCCCTTCCTCCTCCTGTCACTACCCCTCCTCCTGTCCTCCCCTCCTCCTCCTGCTACCTACCCTCCTCCTGTCACTACCCTCGTCCTCCTGCTACTACCCTTCCTCCTCCTGTCACTACCCTCCTCCTGTCACTACCCTCCTCCTCCTGTCCTACCCCTCCCTCCTCCTGCTACCCCTCCTCCTCCTGCTACTACCCCTCCTCCTGTCACTACCCCTCCTCCTCCCTCTTCACCCCTCCCTCCTCCTGTCACTACCTCCTCCTCCTGTCACTACCCCTCCTCCTCCTGTCACTACCCCTCCTCCTCCTGCTACTACCCCTCCTCCTCCTGCTACTACCCCTCCTCCTCCTGTCTACCCTTCCTCCTCCTGCTACTACCCCTCCTCCTCCTGCTACTACCTTTCCTCCTCCTGTCACTACCCTTCCTCCTCCTGTCACTACCCCTCCTCCTCCTGTACTACCCTTCCTCCTCCTGTCACTACCCCTCCTCCTCCCCTGTCACTACCCCTTCCTCCTCCTGTCACTACCCCTCCTCCTCCTGTCACTACCCCTCCTCCTCCTGCTACTACCCCTCCTCCTCCTGTCTACCCCTCCTCCTCCTGTCACTACCCCTCCTCCTACTGTCACTACCCCTTCCTCCTCCTGTCACTACCTCCCCTCCTCCTCCTGTCACTACCCCTCCCTGTCCTCCCTACCCCTCACCTGCCCTACCCCTACCCCCCAACACCACCTGCTCCACCCCCTACCACAGCCATGACTGCCTACCCCATCAACCACCACCTCCTCCCACTACCTCCTACGCTCCCCCCATCCCTATAGGTGTTTTACAAGTGAAATATCCCGGGGTGTCTAATTTTCAGGTGATCCCTAATTTTGGGTCGATAATTATAGGTAAGAGTTAAGCTATTATTAATGTTATTATTGTTACTACTAATAATTAATTAATTGTAACACTATACGAATATTTTTTCTACGTTACCAATATTACGAACTTCTGCTTTGATTTCATTTTTATTATCGTGTTTGATAATCGCGTCACGTCATGGCGGGGTGAGACGAGTTAATATTTATACGTCTGGTCTTATTTTTTTTTTACAAACATCCGCCCTCGGTGATCAATACATTACGTGAGGCAGGAGGACACACACACACACACACACAAAATCAGAGTCTCTCAGAATAAAATGATAATGGTGCAAACGTCTGCAAAGTTCCAAATCATTTATTTAATCTGGGAGCTGGTGTGTCACGCGAAAATCACCCCTGTTGCCGCTCCTCTACCATCTGTCTGAACGCTTGACGGGCCTTGTTCGTATCCTTAAACATGACTTTAATCAACCCATATATATTTACTCTACCTTATTTATTTATTACCAATGAGTTACCCATCATATATTAATGTTCATTTAAGTAAAATAATGAAGATATTGTATATTTAATGTTAGTTAAAGGAGAAATTGTGTTTATATTAATTTGAAGTCAGGGTGAAGGTGAGTGAACGCGTCACAAGAAACACGGTCGCCTGGCTGCCACGACCAAGGAGCCGACAACCATCATGAAGATAAATATGGCGGATTATCTGAGGAAAATCGAGGATAATTTAAGGGAACTCCTGGCCTCATGTCAAGGGCCATATATCTCCGACAATTATGTTTCCAGTACGCGGCCATGTGGAGGTACATTTGCCTGTCTCCCCAAAAGAAACCCCAATGGGATTTTTTTTTTCAATATTTCAACCGTTTATACAATTTATTCAAAACACTATAATCACAACGTAAATATTTTGATAATATAATAAAAAAACACTTAAAGTAAATAGAGTAAAATCCCTGCAGGTAGAGAAGAAAGAGAGAGAAGAGAGAGAGAGAAAGAGATACAACACGGAACTTACTCCCCGCCGCCAACAATCTTACCAAACCCTGATTTTCCCACATAATTTTACCCGCTTATGTTAGTCTAGTTTATTCTAACTCGTTCACACAAGAATTTAACATGATTTTTAACAAGGGGTAAAAGGCGAGAGGAGGGAGGAGGTTAACTTTACCATGTTAAGTGATTTAGATTAAACAAATACACGGACGTTTAGATACATAACTGACGGATTTTTTATATATATTATTTCACTAAGGGAATTTTACCCAGAGTATTATTAATTATTTATTGGGGGTAGTTTAATTTCCTGTGATTAATCCAGGTAGAGTTGACTTTATTATGTCAGTGATGAGTTAGATGAGTGGTTCTGGTCACGGTGTTCAGATGACGTCATATATTACCCTTGCTCTCTCTCTCTCATTGGTGATTTAGTTATATTTATTTATATTTCTTTAATAAACCACATCAACAACCACAACCACCATCA